TTCCTGTGTTGCTAGCCTGCTACTCATTTGTCCTGCTGGCAGCTGCTGATTTTTGTCCGTTGAAGTTGCGTACAATTAGATGGCACTTTCCTGTTTTATTTGTTGCCTGCTTGACAAGGTACTCTTGCCAGTGAATTCCAGATTACCCTAAGTTGGAGCCGAAGTAATTTTTTCTCAATAATTCATTAAACCCTCTATTTAGACCCTTTTTGTTCCTACAAGATTATAGAAATAACAAAGCAATTTCAACTTAAGAGTTTTTAGCTTTCTGCGATGCAGAGATCTCTGCAGAACTTCACATTCAAAATGATAAAGTCCTATATTGATACGCATCTGTCTTCTCTTGAAAATCTTGCTGGCTGACCTTCTTGGGGTCTTCTCTAGATACTTTCAAGAAACTAACCAGCATCTGACTAAAAATACATCTTGCGCATAAAAGACAAAGCAGAAGCGCTGGCTTATTACGTAAAACAGATATCAGCAGATCAGATTTGTGTGTGTTTATGTATTTGTCTGTTGTTCTCTTAATCAAATAATGCTGTTGGCCATAGACCCTTTTTTCTTGGGCAGTATCCATCTGCATTAGGAATAGAAAGATGCAGTTGATCATCTTCGAGCAGACAAGTGTGCAGACAAGAGGTGACTTGCAAGAGGAACATGGCTTCTATGATTGTGATGTTTAGATTAAAAAGATTCTCTCATTCCATATGCTTAAATCCTCAAAAAAAAAATCTAAGGAACAGTTTAAAGCACAAGCAAGACATTTCAAGAGAGATAACGTGTATGCTTGTATACACACACAAACAAGAGAAAACAGACAATAGACAATTTAATTCTCCTCTTTGTGTCCTGAGTGCTTATGGATTTCATAGCTAAAACCAATTGCCTTTTGCCTCCACTTAAGTGTTGAGGCTATATTGATGGCTTTCTTTCCAGGAAGGACAGCCCATTTACCTGGCGGTGAAGGGAGTAGTATTTGATGTCACTTCTGGAAAAGGTGAGTTTGCTTCTCCTCTGCTATCTGCTTTGTTTTCATGCTATTGTTCAGTCATTTGTTTTTAAATATTCCCAATGTATTAGAAGCCTGCAGTTCAGTTGCAACAAAAAGAATATACTTTTTCCTTTTTTTAAAAACCTCACTTTTCCTCCTCAGACACCTCCCCCACCAACGTTTCATCTAGAACTTAGACTGGTTTGAGATTACAGTACAGGTAGACAGACAAGCCAGCGTAGTCCAGTTGGCTCGGGCACTGACTCCAGAAACACTGAAGACGCCTGCCCAGACCCCTGGGTCCTTGCCACACAAAAGCCGGTGCTACAGTATTTTATTGCACTGGGTACATGAACTGACCAGATAAAAGCTAACTTGTATGTACCCGTATTGCACTACCCAATATCAGTGTTGCTGCAGCTTCATCTTTTCCTTTTGTAGCTGTTGTTTGCCCACCGGTGCTGTCCAGTGCTGCCTGGTCAAAACTCTTGGAAGAGCTGACTCTGATTTTGAAAGGAGGGCGGGGGGCTAAGTAATTTTTTTCTTCTTTAAAATTTTCTTAGTTCATGAGGCTTCTTGTCTCATCATTTAGACTAAACCATTTATTGCTGCATTTGCTGTTTGTGCCTTCCCTAAGAACTACAGATGTTTTAATTTGAACTCCTGCTACTTAATCCAGATTTGCTGTAAAACGTTTGAAGGGACCATGGGGGTCCTGGACACTGTCCTTAATGTCATCGTAAGCAAAGTAATGGCTTGTTGCTTTGTTTGTACTAAGCTTGGTAACGCAGCTTGTCTGGACATACACGTTGGCTGATTTTCAAATCCTAAGTTAGACAAGGCTTGCCACTGCAAATTCTGGAGTCTACAAACCTCTCATGAGAATGTAAAGCACAGCTCCGTAAATAATAGGTAAATTTTAAGACCGCAGTGTAGGCGTTCAACAGTTGTATTGTATAACCCCACCCTCTGTTTTGTTTTGTTCTTTTTTTTGAAGGACTGGGATATATTATCAAAAATTAGCAGATCAAAAGTCAGTTTTGGAAAGAAGAGTCTTAGAATTGAGTTTTTGCTTTCAGTTCACTGACAAGTGTAACAGGCTGCTGAAAAGCAGAGGCTGAACATATCCTGTACACTGTTGCATCATCACTGGATTTTTCTTTTTGTTTTAATCGGACAGAATTTTATGGCAAAGGAGCCCCATACAATGCTTTGGTTGGGAAAGACTCGACAAGAGGAGTTGCAAAGATGTCCCTGGATCCAGCAGATCTTACACATGACATAGTAAGAAAATGGACTATTAGTTTAATTCCGTTTTGCAAAGTTTTATTCTTTTGCAAGATGATGAATGATAATATTAAATGATTTGTATTCATTTATTTAAGTTGGTTCGCATCTTTAAAAACAAAATGCATTAACATTCTTTAAATACATAAAATGGATATGTATTTACTGCTCATGAAAGGTGCAGCGCTGACAGCCTTAAAGAGGAAAGTTTTTAATCTGTGGAATCAATACAGCTTATATAAGCACATAAAGGGGAAGTTACCTGCTGTTTAAAAAGCTGCTTCCAAAGAGAGTAAATCACTTCCTTGTCAGTTGATGTAGCGTATCCTGTGTCACTGACATGGCAGTGGACGCTAACTCTGGCAACGGGTTGTTGCTTGTTTGAGGTGTGGTTTACTTATAAAGGAACATGAAGGGAGACTAATGGTTTGTTTGACCTGAATATATTAAAGTTTTGTCAAGGCTGAATTTGAATGATAAAAAAATTAAATTATTATATGGTGGTGGTGGTGGTTGTTATTATTGTTACTATTTGGTTATACTATCAACTTTGTTCATCATGCTCTGCGAAGTAAACCCAAAAGCTGACCCCAAGGTTTACAGTAATCAATAAAAAAGAAAAATGCATGTAAATACCCGTATTTTTATTTCTTTGAGACAGGACTTTCTTTTCCATATTTCATTTAGACAGGACTCACAGACGAGGAACTGAAGTCCCTGGACGATATCTTCAATAATGTTTATAAGGCCAAATATCCAATTGTTGGCTATACTTCTCGACGGATTCTGAATGAGGATGGCAGCCCCAATCTAGACTTTAAACCCGAAGATCAGCCACATTTCAACATTAAAGATGAGTTTTGAGGAACATTTTTGTACCTAGAGAATGCCTGGGGAGAGGCACAATAGAATATTAGATTGATTCCCTATTTTCTGGAGTTCATTACAACAATTAGCTATCATGAGTCAGTTTTCTGTTTAGAAAATACATATGTGTGTACACACATAGTTTACACAGTGTTCTTCCTTCCAGGAAACAAACAGATCTGTGTTAGTGTCATACACTTCGGCTGTTTGCTCTGAATTATGGGAATTATTTCATAGGAAAGTTCTTTCTGCTTGGATTTCTCTGTTTACACATGTGTAATGTAAAATTACATGCCTTAGAAGAGATAAGCAAGTTTTTAATAGTTGAAACATGCCTGGTCTTTTTGTAAATCCCAAGTTGTTTCCCACTCTTTGGAAAAGTGTGAATGCATTATCTGGACAAGCTAACATCAATTCTCTGTGCTTCAAGTGAGTGTAGGTATCAGGTATCACATGTACAAACAGGTGTAATAGAGGCTTACATTTTAAAAAGCATTATGGGATTTAATATTTGATAGGTTTGAGAATACTGGATACAACACCACTCAATCTCTTAAAATGCAGTTACTGTGGAATATTTATGCAAAGCCTACAGCTGTAAACCAAGAAAAATAAATCTTTTTTCCCCATGAGAACTACTGTGACATTTTAAGTAAGACTATTATTATGTTAGTTTTGAATATATGACACTTTAACTTTTTAAAATAATTATCAAAGATGTAGTCTATATTAGACTATGATGATTTCCTTCTAGGTTCCTCTGCTCCTTCTCTGACAAAAAAAGGAAACGATAGCCCGCTGTTTACCACGCACTCTGTGGTAAATACTGTGGATATTGTTAGCATCTTTATATTGACAATCTCCGCTCTCGCTTCTAATTTCCGTTAGCTTTTCTTTGCTCTTACTCTGGCTTCATCATTGCTGTTGCAATGAAGTGTGCATTCATATGTTCCTCTTCCTTTTAACTTACTATAAAACTGCAGATCCTGTAGAGTGAAAGCAGACCCCCTTTATCGGGTTTCTCTGGCAGCCTTTCAGCGTCAAGAGGACCGTAAAAGCACGTGCTATGTAAATTGCTGCTAACCGCTGACTTTCACTAACTTAAGCAGAACGTAAATTGTCATGTATGTGGATTTATCTGCCATTGTGACAAGTTGAATTCACATGGAAAAACTGAGCAGCTGCTCCCAATTCTCTATTAATAATATAGATAAAAATACAATTCTATATTTGTTCTATTTCTTTAGCATTTTGGTAATTTTCTTTGAAGGAAAGATTTTATTAGATGATTCTGCACTTTATGGTTCGCAGGGGACAGCTACCTGTCAGATGAATAACTAGAAAAGCTGTTTCTATTTATTTGTCCTTTCTTCCACAGTGTTACAGATTTTACTCTAAACTTGTTTTGTGTCTTACCATTAGACCACTGCATTTGCAGGAGGAACTCCATGGGCCCACCCTGCTGTTGGATGGTGCTCTGGGGTGGAATGAATAATTTAGTGTCTAAGAAAATACTATTGCTTCAGAGAATTATTTTTGTTTTATTATTATTATTATTACTACTGCTGCTGACCTTTTGATTAGATACCACGAGCAGCTGGGAGTTGGCCCCTTGAAGATGCCTGCCCCCAGGTATGGGTGTGTACCTGCCATCTTTATGGGAATGCGTGTGGGTTTGCTGGTAATGGTGGTGGTTCTGTTGCCAGCATTTCACAAATAATTTTCCAATGCCTGCTGTTTTTTCCCTTCTCGTCCTTTCCTTGCATGCTTCCTTATGGGGCAGCTTCAGTAGCTGTGCTACTGTGATTACTGTAATAGTCTTGGCGTCATCTGGGATCAGCATATCCAGCTGCATTTCAAAAATGTTGTAGCGAGACTGTAACTCATCACCACTGAGTGGCTTAGTGTTACTGTTCTCTCCTTGCTTTTCCTGTTCATGCTATGAAGATCACCTTTGCTGGTCTTGAAGCAGATAACTCAGCTTCTATTTGTACTAAATTTCAGGTTCGTTTCAGTGAAGAAACCTCCTGTTGCAACAGGAATGGCGATATAAACCCCACTCTGGTAGCGTGAGATCCTTGCGGATCCAACCCGCCCTGACTCATGCCTGTGAACACAGGGAGATGCTCTAGTCCTTCCTTTCTGTTATTAAACACAAGATCATCTCAACTGAGTGCATTTTAGAATGCAAAAGTTTTTATTCACCGTGGGAACTGAAGGAGGACTCACATTTAATCACTTCCTAGGCTATTTTACTTGAGGTTCCCACTCAATAGAACAGTGTTATGGTAATAAGACTTTAAGCGGGCATATATCCTTAACATGTTTTCACTGACGACTTTTTAAAAATGAATTCCGAGTACCGCAGTATTTCTTCTAGTGTTAATTTACTGACACTATTTTATGTCTAAGGTTGTTACTTGCCAACAGCCTGAAATTTATTTTGCTTAAAAGCTAACTGTCTGCTGTGGTTGTTTTGTTCAGTAAGTTGCATTTCCCTGATGACCTCTCTATTATTCCAGTAAGACAGGTGTCCTCACTATCTATACATTGCACTCAAAACAAGCAAATTGTATGCTGTCCTTGTTTTTTCAGTCAGCTGCATTTCCCTGACCTCTGTATTATTCCAGTAAAACAGGTGCCCTCACTATCTATAAATCGTACTCAAAACAAGCAAGCTGTGTAAAGCCCTCTTGTAGCCCTCTGACTACTCCACACCTCCTTTGGAGAGCGAAGAATTTCTTTTCAATTTACTTGCTGCTTCCAGATAACATTGCAAATCTCATTATTTTTGCTGTGCTGCTTGTAATCTGCATATTGCTAACTTAATACGGGTGCTTAAATGGTCTGAAGTTTTAATGAATTGCTGTGCCAAGAATTACCTTACTTTAGTATTTAATAATAGTTTGCTCTTCAGAATGTTAAGAATTACCAGATGGGTTCATTGCTTAGAGGATGCATAACCCGAGTTGCTGTTTCCCACCTGGCACTCTTTTCAATAGTCCCTCACTTTGATCCTAATATGTTTGACTAACTTTTGTGACAGGATAGATTCTATGATCTGTACTTTAAGAAGGACTTCTCTGATTAACAACTGGAGCAACAGGACTAATAATATAAGCAACCAAAATTCAATAAAGGGGTTATGAAATGCAGATGAAAGTATTAGGCTTATTTTTGCAGTTGTAGAGACTGCAGTTAAGTGAAATCATACTAAGAACATGTAAGGTGCGTTAGCAGCTGTTAGTCACAGTTATTGCATCCTAATCTAAACAAGGCCACCTGCCAGAATGCAGGTACTCCAAAGCCTGCAGATTGAGCGGCTGTGATTTTTCCGAGAATTTGGGATTAGACATAAACCAAAGTTAGTTCTTTCCTAACTGTAATGTGTATATGGACACCATTCTTTTTGTGGCCCTTTGTCAAAATATGAGTGTTCCATTGATTTAAGTAAATCAGTTTCTGCATTTGTTTTCTCATGCAGAAGAGGCCTTGTGTTTCTTTGAAAACTGCAGCCTAGGCTAATATTCTTTGTGGTCTGATGGTATCCGCTGTGAATTCATAACAACATAGGAATCCGTGTAGGATCATATTTCAAACTGCACGTGCCAGACCTGCCAGACTTTCACATTTAAGTAAAAATTAAAAGAGGATGCTTATCTGTTTAAGTACAGCGCTTTGGAATGGGAGAAGCCTCAACACAGTTTGTAAATCACCTCCTCTAACTTTTGTTTCGAAACCACCATCGGGCTACACATTCAACAAATGGTAGTTTGGAAAGGCATTTAATTGCTGCAGTTTTTCTCTTGCAAGACTCCCAAGAACATGTAGAACTCACTTGATGGTGAAGGAGAGAAAAATAAGAAAAAAAAATGGTTTAGCTGACTTTTACAAATGTATTCTGTCTCTTTTATAGATAAATATACTTATCTGAAAGATGTTCAATGTAATTTGCATCTGCTCAAGAGAAAACGGAAGAGATGTGAAAAGTTTCATATAGGAAGTCCAAGCTAATTTTTCAGCTGATCTGGTTAAACTGAGAGGAGAAAAATGTCAAAAAAACTTCTGACTACTTCTGTGAATGAAAAAGCTGCCATTCAGTAGGCTTCAGCTGCACATCAGTAAGATTTGCTAAGTAGCTCTGATTAGTATTTGCATATTTTCAGATAAACACTGGATATTCTCAGGGATATCTTGAAATTCCCAGAACTGATAAAAGTGATGACAATCATACACTTTGTTATCCATCATCCATTCATGCTTTTGCTTACTGTTTTTCTGTCCATACAGGAAACAATATACAAGCCATGCAACTTACATACCGATCCATGCTATAACCTGAAAGCTACTTATATGGTATACAGAATGGCTAGTTTCAAAGAAAATCAGTCCTTATCTGTGAATGCTTTGGCTAAAACGAAACAAAACAAAATGCTTAACTTTTAGATTTGTAATAATTACTTCACTCAGAGCGCTATCTGTGAATGCCGATTCAGATAGTTATAATATAGAATATATCTGACTGCTTGACAGAAAAATCAGTGCTACATCAAAAGGTGATTTTTTTTTTCCTCTCTATTCGATGAGAGTCTTGAAGAACTAAGCATATGATAGGTGGGCATCGCTGCTAGAAGTACTCTAATAGCATAGGCATGATTTTCATCTTGGCATGACAAAAAAAAACCAAAAAACAACAGAAAAGAGAATAGGTGGGAAATGAGAATGTATCTTAGTGTGCTATTGGGACAATTTCTACTGGTAAGGTAGATCTGGCAGAGCAGTACATGCAGGTCTGATAACAGACAGTGCTTCCTATTTTTGCTTGTCAAATATGGTCAATGATAACAACGTAAACTTGCACCCTTACCTGTCTGTTGGTCTTTACATAACACCTTCCATTTTGGCTTTTTTCTTTCTGTTCAGTAGAAGGTGCGAGTCCTAACTTACTTGTTTACAAAACTTAGGCTTAGATCTTCTTGGCTTGGGTTATCTGTTGA